TTGCAGATTTTTCACGGTTAAGTAGAATCAATGGGAACTCTCGTTTTAACCAATACAGATGATACACATAAATGATCATAAACAAAGTTATGATTCAAGAAGTTATTAGTGTCAGTGTATGTCCAAAAAGTGAATGTCATGATGCTTCATAACAAGTCTAACGAAATCACTAATTATAAGAAATATATAAATTCTTTCAGAATTTAAACAGGATTAAAGCACGTTTAGATCATGAACTCCTTCAGCTGCGGTCGTTTTCGTGTTCGTGACAGAACTTATGATTACTTTAGCTATTATTGAAGTAGGTCATGTCACTCGTTTTTTCTGATGTGTGCATATGGTTCTATTGAACAACTGTGGACGTGAAAAAAGGTGAGGCTAGCAGAAGTGAGAAGTTCATCACAGGTGTTATCAAATATCGCAGACAGTTTTTACATGCCGAGCGTATTCAGTTTGCTGAGGGTTAAATAAGTCTTGGCCGGACCGATTGTGATTCCCACGTCACAATACAACTTTATACTCAATCATGAGAGCGTAATGAGGCATCATGCAATGCATCCCATGGGACAGAAGATGAAGCGCTGAATTTGAACTAACCCTATGGCGCATTTCCTTCATGTTGAAGAAGACGCTAGTTCCGTGGCCACCGCCAGATAAAGCAGTGGAAGAAAATCAGCTCACATCTGTTGCCGATGAGGAATATTTCTCTGGTGGACGCGACTGTATTCTCAGCATCAAACTGTTGGATGTTAATTGATGATAACTGAACGGGCATGATAAACCTTAAGCTTACTGCGATTCTTTTACGTGGCTGAAACGGACGATAGCAAATATGTATTCAGAGTAAACTGGCTCAAAGAATCTATGTCTTTAATCCGAAACTGAAACTATCGTTTGACTATATAGACAGGAGTATTGCAGTCAGCTGCTACCGGTAGGCGGCATTCTCGACAGATGCAGAATAGTCTCGGCTTCTACAGGGTTCAATGTTGTCTCTTCTGCTGCTCAGCTTCTATGTTTCTCCACTGAGGACATCTCAATCATTGAAATGCATTAAATACGTGGCACGCGTTTCACTCATCTATGATGATTAAGGATTGCAGAGGTTTCGAAGCATGCCAGGGCATGAAGCAAAGTGGTTAAAGTACAATGGTCTCGTCATTAACTACGAGACACGTGTTGAACTATAATTGGCCGAGCGTAATTGAGAGAATACCCTCATTGATATAAGCTGAAGACTTGATTGACATTATAATAGACGGTAGCTGTGACAGTATAGATGGAAGAACGGAACTATCGATAAACGAAGGTGTTGATGGAATCTCATTCCCCGCATATTGGTTCAAAGCTCAGCGAGTGGTCGTTTCTCTTCATTTGACTCCCGATGTTCTCAGAAATAATAGCAATAAGATGTTCCTGAAAACAAGGTTACAGAGATCTTGGTAATGTTGAAAATATGACTGAATTGAGTAATGATTTAGCATTTTCACTTTTGGTTCCGGATTGAAACGACGTAATGGCAACGCCCCTTTGCTTCTAGCAGCCTAGGGGACATTTAAGCAGGCCAAGGCTGCATGATTAAATGACCATGACCTTCAGAACATGATTTACTTCTGACTTTCATGAATTGGCGACAAACGACTGTAGAAGCAAATCTTCAAGCTAAATGAGGACTGTCTGCAGTCAAAAGTTACACGCACCTTAAGAAACTATGCAAATCGCTAGAACTAACTGCACCAAGACATAGCGTTTCCTCTTCCACTCGCAGACGACAGGAAAATGCAGCATACTTTCAAGTACTTATCTAATAGCGCACTTCATGGTGAAACCGAAGCATTTCCAGTTGATACCAAACCCAAACGTTGAGCACGAACTTAAAATAAACGAAGATTCCTCATAATTACCTCCAACTGAAGTGAAGATGTGCCATTCAAAGAAAAACAACTCATATAATTTCAATAATCAGTGTTTCTATGCTCTATGCAGCACATTACTATAAAGGACTTATTATTGGTAGAGTTTACAGCTGACACGCCGAATTTCTTGGTTCAAAGTTTTCCGACTAGTTGCGAGGGTGATTGACGTGAAGAAACCTGATCGTTTGTATCACCGCACTACGTATATGGTACGATAACTTCCATTATTATAAACGATGAATCAAATCCATCCTCCCC